AACACTATTATACGAAGCATTAACTTTTTTTAATCTTATGATTTTGCTTTCAATTGAATACTAAAATTTTTTTTATCCATCACTTTGTTTATTTACCTAACTAGGTCGATCATAATTGACTTGTTGGAATATATAGTTTTTGGTATATATTATTTAACATTATAAAGATTTAAATTTTTTATTTTTTAAATTAAAATTTTAAATTAATCAATACCAACTCAATTAAATTTTTGTTGAAGTTAGAATATATTTATACTAGAGTGGAATGGTTGATTTTTACTTATCTCCCTTGGTATCGAGAAAACCAGATATTTGTTATGATCTACTTCGTCGCCATCCAAGCTTGATTACAAAAATGACCACGGAAGAAGGTTCTCCTATTTATATGCTGTCCCGTCGGCCTTCAGCATTCTTCAGTGGAAGTAGGCTTCGGTTTTGGCAAAGATGGATTTATAATTGTCAGTATGAATTCCCTTTAATTTTATATTTTAATCTTTAAATTTAATTGTTATATATATATATATATATATTCGATCTATTTGCGGTTTTATGTATTAAAGGGTTAAAGGTAAAGCTACCCCCGACTTCCTCCGATGAACGACGAATTCCCATCACTCACAACCAAGACCTCAGCAAAATGGAAATCGGAATACAAGGTGCGTATTTGTATGGATTCAAGTTACTTACACTACTGAGATAACGTAATATCATTTCAAAAAAAAAAAGGTTCACCTCCAAGAATTAGTTCTACTCTTCTTCTTCTTTTTCTTATTCTTCTTCTTCTTCTTCTTCTTCTTCTTTTTATCTATGAAAATTTAATTTAGAGTTAAAATACAAGACATACTTTACTTATAAATACATTGAAGTATCAACAACTTATTGGTTTAAGTAAAAAGAAATCGAATTTTTTTAAATAAAATCTCAAGTTCAAATTTTATAAATAAAAAGATAAGCACTAGAAGAGTTTTCTCGTCCTAATAAGGTCCAATTTAACTCAATTTCGAATTAATTTGAGAATTAATATAACTTTCGAATATTTGAGGTTTAATATAAAAAAAATAAAAATAAATACACTAAAGTGATTATATAATGTCGTACTTTACCCATAGATTTTATTCAATCTTGAGATGCCTAAAATTAGCTGAAGAACAACCTAACCATCCAAAAAAATAAAAAAATCATTTCACAATTTTGTTCCGATCTCAAATATCATTTCCTTGTTTGAGAATATATATACAAGAATATTGAACTTAGCTAGAATAAAGTCAATGTTCATTTCAGATTTATTTATGTATTTAATTTTAAATTCATGTAATTAACACACATGCATGCTCATGGACTTACTCTTTTTATTTTTTATTTTAAATTACATAATACGAAACAATTATTTTTCATACCTTAACTCACTTTATTTACATATTATATGACTTGAATTTAAAATCTTTTAATTTTATAAAAAAATAGATTAACATTGAACTACTCACGTCCTGACATTATGGACTTACTATTATTTGTAATTTTAAGTCAGCATATATATAACAAGGTGGTTTAACTTTGCAGGATTTGGTCGACTTTGTGGATTGGGCTTAACGCTCCAAAATTTCTTTGGTAACTCACCCTCAACTGTGAAACCCCTTTTTTTTTTTCTTTTTTTTTTTTTTTACTTTTTTTAGCGTTTCTACTTCCACTATTCTATCCTTTTGCCTTTTATGGTAATGTTAAATGCTTCTTGATTTACTTAGGAATCACAGATATTTATGATTTGAAGTTGACACATCTCTTGGCCCATGAGATTATCCGCTGCATGTGTAACTATGTTTCAACTTTAAAATAGGAACATCCTTCTCGTCTTCAAGTTACTCTGGCAATGTTTGAAGCTGCCCGCCAGGGCATAGTTGAATTGGTCATTGAGCTATTGAAAGTCAACCAACCACTCGTTTCGTATAACCAAGATAAGAGAGACGTTTTCATGGTTGCAATTCAATATCGTCAAGAAAACATTTTCAATCTATTCTACGGCGTTCATAAGGTTGGGAAAGCCCAAATTCTTAATAACAAAGATAACAACCAGAACAATATGTTACATGTGGCAGGAGAGAGAGCTCCTGACTTTCGACTTGTCCGAATCTCCGGCCCAGCATTGCAGATGCAAAGAGAACTACAGTGGTATAAGGTTATGATCTCACTCGCTCACCAAAATTATTATTATTATTAATTATTTTAATTTATTTTTATACATGAAGTGTGCTTTGATTCTCTCAAAAGTTCATTCATAGTAGATAAATGTCAATTTTGGTCTTTTAACTTTGAGTTTTTGCACAGTTTTAGTTTTTTAATTTTTTTATGTAGTTTTTAGTCATTCAATCAATTAGATCATGAAGTTTGTCTATGTATGCATATTTTTAGTTCCTAAATTTTTAAATTAAAGGATAAAAATTGTGCAAAATCTTAAAATTGAGGGATTAAAAATATGTATATATAAACAAACTTAATGAACTAACTAATGGAATGATTAAAAAAATTTAATTTTTATAGTTAAGGGACCAAAGTGCATAAAAAAGTTGGAAGACTAAAACTGTATAAAATCATAAAGTTGAGAGACCAAAACTCTGTAAAATCATGAAGTCGAGGGAACAAAATTTACCTTTAACTTATATAGTAAGTGTAACTTATTTCTTTATTTCAAAAATGAAACCTAATTTATTGTTCTAAACATTAATGTGTACTTTTGTTAACCTAATGCAGGAGGTGGAAAGAATTGTTCCAGAATGGTGCAAAGAAGCTAAAAATTGCAATGATGATACCCCTTATGAAGTACTTTCAAAGAGCCACAAGGAATTAGTGGAAAAGGGGGCAAAATGGATGAAGGACACAGCTAGTTCTTTTATTATTGTCGGTACTCTTATTGTTACAATGTTGTTTGCGGCAGCTTTTACTCTTCCAGGCGGCAACGATCAAAGCACCGGCTTTCCCATATTTTTATGGAAAAGATCATTTATGATATTTATAATATCTGATGCAATTTCCTTCTTTGCTGCATCAACTTCAGTCTTAATGTTTTTGGGAATCCTAACATCGCGCTTCGCCCTGGAAGATTTTCTTGAGTCCTTACCCAGGAAGTTGATCATTGGCCTCGCCACTCTTTTTATTTCTATTGCAGCAATGATGGTTAGCTTTTCTGCTGCTCTTTTGATTATACTACAAGATCGATGGTGGGCAATCATTCCCATAATTATGATGGCTAG